AGTTTTAAATTAATTCTAAAATAACAAAATTGAAATAATAAAAGATTCAATTTAAAAAATAAAAGAAATAATAAAAAATAAATCAAAGAAAAATAAGATAAATTTAAAAGATGATTTAAAAGAGAAAAAGAAAGAATTAAATAAACAACATTAAAAATCATTAAAAAGATGATTTAATAAATAATTAAAAGAAAAAATAAAAACAAATTGAAATTAGAATTGAAATTGAAAATTAAAAATTAAAAGTAGAAAATATAAACAGACAAATAAATGGAAACCCCCCACACGCAGGCACAAAGAAGCCCAGACCCTAAACCCTAAACCCTAAACCCTCACATTGAAAGTCCCCCACATACACGCACAGAGAACCCTAAACCCTTAACCCCAAACCCTAAACTCTAAACCCTAAACCCTAAGCCCTCACATTGAAAGTCCCCCACACGCGCGCAAAGAGAACCCCAAACCCTAAACCCCAAACCCTAAACCCTAAACCCTAAACCCTCACATTGAAAGTCGCCGAACTTGGAGGTCCCAATAATGGGCTGGTGTTCGATGGAAGGAAAGGCAGCAGAAAATGCCTCGGAGAAGGCGGAGCGCACCGCGGAGTTCAAACCCTAGCGCAAACCCTAAACCCTAAACCCTAAACCCTTAACCCTAGACCCTTAACCCTAAACCCTAATTTTCGAAACCAGATCCTTCAAATTACCGCCAGCGCCACAGGCACTCAGAGCTCAAGACTGATCAATGGGGAATTGCAGCCAAACCCTAACAGCAAACCCTAAACCCCAAACCCTAAACCCTAAACCCTAAATCCTAAACCCTAAACCCTAAACCCTAGACCCTAGATTGCACACCTTATGGTTGAACCCAAGAAACTGCGCGAAGCCCTAAACCCTAAACCCTCGGCTTGGCAGCAAGGCTCACCTGCATTGTCTGGGGTTTAGGGTTTAGGGTTTAGAACTTGGCAAGATTCCTGAAAAGACGTAAATGCGCACAGAGAATAAACGGGAGTGGCAAACTGCACACGCAACCTAAACCCTAGACCCTAAACCCTAAACCCTAAACCCTAAACCCTAAAGGAGGCAGCAGACATGAAGGTGAGGCTGCTGCCGACCACAAGGGAGAATCCTATAGCCTCGGGCCCAAAACCCTAAACCCTAAACCCTAAACCCTGAACACTAAACCCTAAACCCTAAACCCTGAGACCCCTAAACCCTAGCTCCAGGGAAGCCTGCGCCCCGAATCCTAATTCCCAGGTTCTTGAATTCAGAGCCTATGAAAACCCTAAACCCTAAACCCCAAACCCCAAACCCTAAACCCTAAACCCTAAACCCTGAGAGCGTAATCCTTTGTGCGGCGGTTTTTATTATTTCATTCTGTCATCAGTTCCACTGAGAAGCGCATGAAGCGCAGGCCGAGGGCCCACGGCGAGGGTTTAGGGTTTAGGGTTTAGGGTTTAGGGTTTAGGGTTTGGGCCTACAGTGCAGAGAGTGAATAGAGAGAGAAATGCTGTGGCCCCCAAATGATTAAAATAATAAAATAAAATAAAGAAGAAAGGGAGACAAAGAAAAGCCAAAACCACAAACCCCACAGGGGGCCCTAAGCAGGGCCTCTCGATCTGCTGCTGCTGCTGCTGCAACGGTGTTGCTGCTGCTGCTGCAGCAGCAGCAACACCGTTGCTGACAAATTTCATAAACATTTTTAATTATATTTCATTTATTTCTTCTTAAAACCCCCAGGAAAGTCAGATCTAAAAGGGGCCCCCAGTAGAGGGGCCCCCACCAGTTAGGGGGCCCCCCTGCGGTGTACTTACACCTGAAATGGCTTGCTGCAGCGGCAGCAGCAGCAGCAGCTGCTGTGTTGGTTGCTGTTGCTGCTGCAGCTGCTGCGCCGGCGCTGCAGCTGCTGAGGAGGTCAAGGCCCTGGAGTGCGTTGTGGCAGCAGCAGAAGCAGCAGCAGCAGCAACAACTGCAGCAGCAGCAGCAGCAACGGGAAAAGCGCTGCTGCAGCTGCAAAACTCAGTAACTCGGTGCTGCCTCAACAGCACCAAAGAGGCCCCGTGCGCGCTGGAGCAGCAGCAGCAGCAGCAAATGGCTGCTGCTGCTGCTGCTGCTGATGGTGCAGCAGCAGAGCTGCCTGTACAACCCAAACCCCCAGAAGAAGACACAGAAGCAGCAGCAGCAGCACTAACAGCAGCAGATGATATACTGCTAGGCACTGTGGAGCCGCTGCTGTGGCAGCTGCAGCAGCAGCAGCTGCTGCTGCAGCAGCAGGCAACAGCAGCAGCAGCAGCAGCTCAAACGCTGCAGCGCAATTGCAGCAGCAACAGGAGCGGCAGCACGAGGAATCATAAGGCTCTTAGTCCCGCAGCAGCAGCACAACCTGCTGCTGCTGCTGCTGCTACTGCTGCTCCCTGTGCTGCTGCCCTCTCGGAAACTGTTGTCTCGCTGCTGCAGCGCGACGCAGCGTTTAAGCTGCTGCTGCTGCAGGAGGTGGCAGCAGCAGCAGCAGCAGCAGCAGAAACGAAGGGAGCAGCCGCAGCTGCTGCAGCAGCAACAGCTAAAGCAGCACGCCTCGCTTGGCTAGCGCAGCCTTTTGCAGCAGAACTGCAGCAGCACCTCCTGCTGCTCCGCCGCAGGCTGCTGCTGCTGCAACACAAGCAGCAGCAGCAACTTCAGCAGCAAAAGCAGCAGCAGCATAAGCGTGAAGTGCCACCAGCGGCTCACGCATTCAACACTTAGCGCAGAGTGATGCAGCAGCAACAACAGCAGCAGCAGCAGCAGCAATTGCAACAAATGCGATTGCGGTCGGAACAGCAGCAGCAGCAGCAGCAGCAGCCGCAGCAGACGAGTAAGGGGGCATTTCTTCGCCTTCCCTCCCGACTCTTGAGGGTCAAAGGTTTAAGCTTTTGGATTCAGGGTTTAGGGTTTAGGGTTTAGGGTTTAGGGTTTAGCTGCGTGGCGAGTTGCTGTCGCCCAATACCCAAGCGCTAGCTAGCTAGCTGGCTAGCTAGCTAACTGGCTAGCTAGGTAGCTAGCTAGCTGCCTAGCTAGCTAACTA